ATTTTCTCATACCGCCTATCGGGTCAACCGATTAAGAATTTCCTCAACCGGTTACCTGAATTTATTCGGTTCGGATCAGTTAACCGATTATAGCTCAACCGATTCAAGTCACTAGTTTGAACACGTTTTTGGGAAGGACCTCGTGTACATAATAGGGCCCTTTCCATTTTGGTTCTAGCTTCACGCTCCTGTTGTACTCCACCGACGCATGGTATACTAAAACCTTATCACCAATTTCCAGTTTAGGACCTGGTTTAAGTTGTTTGTCATGTCGCTCCTTCATTTTGGCTTGTGCTTGTTGAACTCGTATGAGAGCAGAGTTTCAATACCTGGGTAGGTCTTCTATTAACTCTATTGTTCTTTGAACTATCGTTTCGTTAGCTAATTGTCTTGTATTACTTGGTTCAATTGGTAAACGTGCTCCTCGGCCATGCATTAGGAAAAATGGTGTGATCTTTGTGGTAGAATGTCTTGTCATTCTGTAAGCGAACAGGACGGCCGGTATCACCAAATCCCAATCAGTAATAGTATCCACTGATTTTGAGATAGCCTCGCATAGAGTTTTATTAAACCGTTCCACCAAACCGTTCATTTGTGGGTGATATGGTGTGGATAGTAGGTGCTTGATGTGAAATTTTTCCAGCAACCGATCCACCATGTGATTCAGGAAATGCATGCCACGATCTGACAGCAATTTCTCAGGACACCCGTGACGGCAGAAGTTTTCATCGAAGATGAAATCGGAGACTTCTTGAGCATTTGCGAACGGAATTGCCTTGGCCTCGGGCCACTTGGTCATGTAATCCGTGGCCACAACAATGTAACGGTTGGATCTTGGGGTGATGGGTAAAGGACTGACGATGTCTATTCCTACCTGGTAGAATGGTGCTGACACCGGTATGGGGTGCAAAAGGCCTTTTACTTTGTTTTTACCCCCTCTTCTGGCAATCTTCACAGGCTTTGACGTAGTCCTTTATATTATCGAACATTTTCGGCCAGAAGTAAATCTCCCAGATCTTGTCAAACATGGCTTCTGTGCTGAAGTATCCTCCCATGGGATGATTATGGGTCATCAGAAGAATGGCGTCAACCTCTGGCTTCTGGATCACCCTAATCAATCTTTTTGGGTAATGTGGATTGGTTTTATAGAGAATGCCGTCTTCTAATCTTAACTTTTTACTAATTCGAATTATTTTATTTTTCTGATTTGGATCTAGGTTTGGTGACAAATACTGATTTTGTAGGCAGCACCGGACTTGATTATACAGTGATGGTTCCATGGTTTCTTGAAATGCCAGGACACCGACGACCTAGTCCGTATTTTAGTTTATAGTCGGATTTGTAGTTCTTATGATACTTCTTCTTCTGGACGTAAGTGTTGTTCGTGATCACTTAAATCTTGTTGCTAATTAGTTCTTCTATTCATTTTATTTTCGGTTTTAGAAGGAGCCCCACTACCCGCTCCAACTCATCCTAACCAACCACATATTCGTTAGGTCTGTCAAAGGTTTTTTTTTTTTTTTTTTTTTTTTTTTTTTATATTATAGTTCCATGAGCGTTGTGTTGGCTCCGGGAACTGCTTGTTCTAGGATAATGAACCTACGACGGTCACGCAGTTGTTCGTTCCAGTAGGTATTGATGGCTTCGACATTTATTGATTCCATGGAACCTAAATCAATTCCGGTTGCCATCAAATATTCTCTTCGTGCTAACTCTTGTTGTGCACCAGACACAATCCATTCTTTTAGGGTCAATAGGTTCCTTGGGTCGTGCGCGATAAGTCGGTAGCCAAATTGCTCCGTCAGGTAAATAGTTTTGCCTCGGTTTATCACTTCCAAAGCGAAGTGTTCTAACTTCATTGGGTGGAAGTATACATGAAATATCCTTCCGTAGGATCGGTTCAGGTGGGTAAAGTTTAGCGCACTACGATAGTCGACGTCCATTTTCCAAAAGCTTATTGTCGTCATATTTCGGGTACTAACTTGGTTGCCCATTTCGTTAGGAATTTGCTCGGTAGGCTCGGGTGAGTTATCTTCCATTTTAATACTTCTTTTCTGTTCTCTATCATCCTCTATTTTTACTATAAAGGCCTCGCTCTCTTCTTTTCGCTCGTGACATCTATCTTCTCCTTCTTGGGTGATTATGGTTTCTTCGTCATCGTCCCATGCGCCTCGCCAAAATTCGTCGCCTTTTTCATCATCGGGTTCGAGGTTTGTATTCTCTTTATCATCTTCTAACTCTGACTCGCTCTGGATCGTACTATCTTCTCTCAGGGAAAATCCAACTCCCGATTCTAGCAGCACATCTAGGATCAATTCTCGGTGCTCTAATTCTCTACGATATTCCTCAATCACAAATCTTCTTCCCGAATTTTCTCCGGGATTAAGGAAAGGGCTTGTTAAGAGTCCGAGGTCAGGTACTCTTCCTCCACTACTGTTCGAAACCCTAGTAACAGGTTCGGTTGGGTTGTCCTCTGGCTCCGGTTTTATGTTTTCTTTGTCAGAGTTGTCATGCCCCATTATGAACACTTCGCACTCTTCTTGGGGTCTGTACCAATCTTCCCATTCTTGCTCGGGACCTTTTTCTTTTTCTTCTAAGTTCCACCATGCTTCTCCAGTCCCTAACCATGTTTTTGCTTCATAGGGCTTGTCGTCATCCCAATCACTCTCCTCGTCACTGAATTCAGTTCCATACACCGGTTCTCCCCACTTTGGCAGTTCTATGCCATATGTTTCATCTAAGTTCAGATGGTTTTTCTCATATTCATCGTCTGACCACCACGATTCCTCAATGGTGTCATAATCATTCCAGGTTAATATACTCTCTGACTTCCTGGTTAATTCTTCTAGTAACTCTTGATACTCTTCGTGGGTATTTAACTCATCTTCCTCTTCATTATAGCCTCTAGGCTCAACTTCTCGACAGTTTCGACCTTCCTCCCAACCGTCATCGGTGACATACTCAGCCAACGATAGCAACCAATCTTTTTCTTCAATGGTTCTAATGCCTTTTTCTTTAGTTTTTTCCTCGTTGACCTTATCAGTTTTCTTTATTTCATCCTCAGGTTCGTGCCAGCAGGAAAGTGCATCAGTGTCGCTGTGGACCCTACCAGCCCTGTGCTGGATAGTATAGTTATATGGTTGCAGCCTAATTATCTATCGGGCATGTCTCCCGTTTAGCTTGGCCGTGTGGAGCCACTTTAATACAACATGGTCCATTACTACTATGAAGGGTTTAAACCCGAAGTAGTGGTGGTAATATTCTACGGCCCATAGCACTGCAAGACACCAATTCGGTGGCTAAATAATTCTTCTCGGCCCGTGATAAACCCCTACTGGCATATAAGATGACCCGGTCTTTACTTTTCTCATCTTTCTGAACTAGTACTGCACCTAACCCAGTACCTGAGGCATCGGTATGTAGGAAGAAGGTTTTTGAAAAGTCAGGGTACTGGAGGATGGGTGCTATGGTTAGGTGGGTTTTCAATTTCTCAAAGGCTGTTTGTTGGTTATTACTCCACTCATACTTTACATTTTTCTTTAGTAGGTCATGTAGTGGCCGCGCTATAGCCGTGAAACCTTTTATGAAATGACGATAATAGGACGCAAGTCCTATGAATGTTCTTAATTGTCAGAGGGTCTTTGGAGCCGTATAATTTTTAACTTTTTCAACCTTTCCTTCGTCAGGTTGGATACCTTTTCGTCCGATGATGTGTCCTAAAAACTGTATGTCCAGTTTAAAAAAACTGCATTTTTCTATATTAATTTTTAAGCCAGCTTTCTCTAATTCTATAAAAACTTTCTTCAAATGAACTAGGTGTTC